ATAGATATTTAAATTGTATGATCTTATTAGCCTTTTAAGTACTTACATAATTAGACAGAAAATGGTCACCCACTTCCTGCTTTGCTTGCTCTTTCCCATCTGCCTCCAGAACACAGAACTACAGCTGCAGTTCCATTCTGCCTTCTAGGGAGCTGGAATGCAGTCCATCTCTCACTCTCTTTTCTCTCCTAAGGAAGAACTCATATATAACCTTCCATCACCCCCACCCCTGCCTTGCTCTGGCAACCCAGCAGTATACTTACAATTTTTCCAGCTTAAATATTTTGTCTTAACTAGGATATATTTTGGTGCTGATATAGCAGAAGCAGGCAGGGCAGACCAGCATTGCATGGTTATCTGGATAGTAGGCAACAAGGTGGTGATGACAAGTGCTCTACACAACTCCAGTTAGCATCTGTCCATTAGGATGGCATGTATGAAAAATAAGGCTTTCTTGGCACTGGTCCCAACACTGTGGAAATTCCTTCCTACTGACATGTGCCTAGTTGCTTCTGCTGTATAGATGTTTAGGTGAGCAATAAAACAAGGAAAGGAAGGGAAGGGAAAGGAAAGGAGGCCATCAGTTGAATTTGTTTCTTGTTTGTGTGTTCCAAGTTTTCTGGACGCCTACTACTCTGGTGGTGATGTCTTGTATTTGACTGTATTCTTGCCCAGAAAGGAGGCTAAAATATTACTAGCATTATGCTGCTACTGCCATCATCACTACCACCATCACCAAATGAAGGCATTATAACTGAGCCGCTTGCATAGGAAAAGAGGATGGTGGGACTTGTAAGCATTCTCCTTTTTTAAAAATGCCAACTAAAACATTTCAGGTGGCAGGACTGAGAAAACTTCTGCCTGAGTCCTTGGAGAATCACTGTTAGAGTAGATGGCACTGAGTCAAATAGGCCAAAGATACGATTCAGTGTAAGGATACTTCACATATTTCCCTATATAGTTTTATAGTTTACTTTGGTAAATTTTTCTGTATTTCCTATAAAATCCACATCCCGGATCTGTTTTTTTACAACTAAATATTGTAAACGTACTTTGCTTATCGAACTTATTAAAGATGTTAATTATTATTTAGTAAATATTCAAACAGAAAGGTTTCTGCTTGAAATATCTTACTGTCTTCACACACTATCAGTAAATTGCATTTCACACAATGAGCACACTTTTATAATGGAAAATATAACTTCAGCACTTGCATGTTAGTACAATTATTATTTAGAAAAATTAATGAAAATCATGTATAAAATGATTTTGAAGACAAACAATATAGAAGAGTTAATAATGATCAATGTACTACAGTTCACTATAGTTGTACACATGTAGATGCTGCTGATTCATAGTTTTAGATATCAAAAATTATTGAGTACTCTCAATGATTTATCAATATGCAACTTGCCTCTTGAAATGAACAGTCTGGGAAGAAATTTAGGAGCTAAAATTGAAACAGAAAATTGCAAAATATTTATAATTACACCATAGGTCAGTGAAATACATAGTTTTCTTTTAAAATTGATCCAGCTTCATTAGCTTACTAGGCTATTGCTGCTGCTAAAATCTTAACTTTATTCATCAGATTTTAAAGACCAATTAAATGTAATAAAATTATCTGTGACTGAACTGTAACTTACAAGTAAATACAAATATTCTTATATACTTTATCTGTACTTCAAAAGTAGCTGAACTATGCACTTTGGAAGTGACCAGAAGCCCATCCTGTTCATTAGCCCTAGAAGTTTGGCCTTTCCTATTCCCTGTGCCAGATGAAAAGTAGCAATTCCAAGGCACCACCAACTGAGTGGAGTTTTGCAGTAGGTTGCCCCAAGTCAATTGCCCCAGAGGACACGGCTTAAGACAGTGTTACTGACAGAAAGAGCATTCATCACATCAAGAAGTGCTGGGTAAGAGAATGGAAGGTAGCAAGTGCTTGGAGAAACGGTAGGTAAAAGTGAGATGGGCATTTCTAGCAATGCAGATGGGAGAAAATGCAGAGAAGAGAAGCAGGAGTGAAGGGCTGTGGGAGGCTGTGTGTTTAGTGGTTGGAATATCAAGATGTTTGCACTGAGGTCTTAGGAACCTTGCTGGTGTGGTGGTGATGGTGGCTGTCCTTGTTACACTGCATGTATATCCCACCTTTTTCCTTTTGTGAGGGACCCAAGTGGCCTACATGTTCCATTTTATCCTCACAATAACATTCCTGTGAGGTAGGTTAGGTGGAAAGTGGGTGACTGGCCCAAAGTCACCCAGTGAGCTTAGTGGCTGAGTGGGGATTAGAAGCCAGATCTCCTGATTCCTCAGTTCAGCACTTGCAGCACCATACCACACACTGACTCTGCAGCAGACCTGGGCTGCTGCTGTTTTAATTGAAATAGGACTGACATTTCAATGTGATACAGCATTGAGGGTATAATTTTAGGTCAAGGCAGCTCTGGTACCTTTAAACTAAAGAATGATCTGTTGGGAAATGAAATCTAATATATGAAAAATCTTTGTTATAAAGACTACCTTATTCTGTATTGCTGTATACATGCAATTTTCATTGAAATGAGGACAAACATATATTTCTTAACAAATATGTGTGTAAATTACCACCAATAGTTGCAATGCATTCCATTTGATGTTTAACCCTAGTACAAATTTCACAAGTGATAAAATTACATAGTTTTTCTGAACTGACGAGTTCTGCATGCAGCTAGCATTTACTGGTTTGAGTACTAGAAATAATTAATTAGTAAATCTTGCAAGGTATACTAGTATTCTGATTCCCTAAACATTTTATCAACATGTTTTACTCCAACTGCATTATGATATAAGTATTTACTGTATTAATTGGTGTGCCTACCTTTCCTCATATTTTGCTGGCTCTAGGCTAGATTTGTCTCTTAATGATATGTCCAGAAATTTTAATGTATTCACTGATGAAGCAATACCTGATTTATTGCTTATGTCTTGAATAGGAAGTTTATTTATAAACCTATTGTGGTATTTTATTTCTTAATATTTCATATTGCTGCCTTTTTATATTTTACTTGTTATCATCATATTTTTTTCTGCAAGATGATGTTGTTTTCCATGTTGGGTGTCCTTATGGAGGGAAAAGCAGGCTACAAGCAAATGATGTTGAAGCAAGTATGTTACAATGCAGGTGATCTGCTAAATGTCTCTGAAGGAAATTCCTTTAGAAGTTTCCTTCCTCTCTGAAGTTTCCTTTAGATTTCTAACAACTGCCAAGTATCTTCAGTTTCCATTCAGCTGTGAACTCAGCTTGAAGACGTAATTTGCTTCTTATTGATTATACCATCCTTTTCTAACCTAGTGCCCTACAGATGTTTTGGACTACAGTTTTCCTTAACCTGGTGTGTTGTGATGTTTAAGAGTGTGGGGCTGGGACTCAGGCGATCCAGGTTCTAGTCCCTCCTCAACCATAGAGCCACTGGGTGACTTTGGGCCAGTCAGAGGCACTTAGCCCAACCTACCTCATGGGGTTGTTGTTGTGGGGATAAGATCAAGAACAGGAGGAGGAGAATGATGTAAGTTCTTTGAGTTCTTTAAAACGGAAAAAGAAAAAGGGAGGATATAAAACTAATAAATATATCTAATAAATAAATAAATAAATAAATAAATAATCAATGGCCATACTGGCCAGGCCAGATGAGACTTCGTTAAAAAAAAAAACAGTTGGAAGGCACAGGACTGGAGAAGACTGGGATATACAATAGCTTCCAATTTAGGTTTTCAGAAGATAATCAGTATGTGGTAAGCACGAATTCAAAAACAAAGGACTTTAAATAGTCTCACTGCAGTGGTTTGATGGACCAATCACATTTTCTGCAATCTGGCATGCTAGAGATTACTTGGACAGTAATATCCAAGAATTGCATTGATTTACATGTAGCAACTGTAATATGCACAGTATTATTAACATGGAAACCAAGGGCATGGTTCTAGGTGCTCACAGAGGCAACACAGATAGATATGGGCATCTGATGATACAAGGAGAAGGAGGAAGTAGAGAATGGACCAGCCAGCTGAAAATGTTTGGTTAGCTACAAATGGTTTTACAGGTAACCTAGTGAGAAACTATCATGCTAGGGAAAGTTGAAGGCAGAAAAAGAAAAGGAAGATCCAATAAGAGATGGAATGAATCCATAAAGGAAGCCACAACCTTGAACTTGGAAGAGATGAATGGGGTTGTTGTGCACAGGACATTTTGGAGGGCTTTCATTCATAGGATCTACATTAGTCAAAGATTATTTGATGCACATAACAACAACAGTGAGTAACAGGAAATCTGATTCCTTTTTATAGCCACATTCCTGTATTCAGATAATAGTTCTAATTACAATTCTTGCAAAATTAAACTTCATGCAAAGCAAGTAATTTATTCATTTATTTATTCATTCATTCAGATTGCATAAAATTGTGGGTGAATATAAATATCTTTTAGATACAATATAAATACCCTTAAAAGGTGCTCCTTTTAGTCAAGTGGACAATATTTTGAAAACAGTTTCAAAAATGAAATATCCACATAAGTTTTTGCTTTAAATATTCTGATTTTAATATTTAAAATGTAAGTGGTCAGGCTGGTTTCCCTCTTCTCTATCATACTGTTGTTGTTTTTTAAGTAAAATCATTTATGTCTATTACTAGCAATATTTCCCTACAACGTGGAGCATTCCTTTTGTGCTAGGTGTCAGTATAATGCAATAGATGGTAAGATGGATTTAAGGCATTCTGATATTATATTCATATACCACCCAAAAGCTGAAGCTTCCTGTGCAGTTTACAGTCTCAGACCAACTGATCTTTTATACAGTGGCTATGAAGATAGATTTGATCAGAACTGTGGATAATTTTGTATAGCATAAAATTTTGCAAATGACAATGAATGCTAATATAAGAGCCAGATGGTATAATTCATAAAAATAGCTTAGTTTTTATCAATTTATTTACATTGCTAATAATAAAAATAAGGTTTTTACCTGCAAGATTGTCAATCTCCTTCTCCTGGAGCAGGCTGACAGCATCATCATCTCCTTCTAGCATAAGCTCTGTCTCAGCATTCTGATTGACTACAGCTTGACTTCGGAAGGTTTTCTTTGACTTTACTACATCTTCTTCAGTGCCTGTAGAAAAGGTTTAAAAAATTAGTAAAAAATCCATTTGACCTCTGGGTCACTCTTAATGTTCAGTACATGTTCTTTAATATGGTAGGAATGAAGTCAATCAATGAGCAAAAATATATCTCAAATCAGGCCTTCAAAAACTTTTTAGGTATAGGAATACATGCTTTTAAAGAACAAAAGGTATTCTAGGGGTATTATGAAAACACAGACATAAACCTCAGATTAGAAGGCTGAGATCTAACCTGCTTTATTACCCTGTCACATTGCTGGCATTTATCCTGTTCCTACAATCTGACAATAAATTTGCAGAAAAAATATACTATAGTAGACACTTATCTGGCAAATGCAGCAATTAACAATTTAGATCAATCTTTCTGAAATCATGTTTGTTTTACAATATTAAACATACATTTATCTTAAAGAAATATATAATTATGCTGCTTTAGTATGACTGAAGCTCTTTAGCTTGGCTGTTCTTTAAATTTATCACTCGGTTGGGTATACCTCAGTATGCCATAACATACTGAGCATTTATCTAAATGAAAGTGTAGGAGACCGAAAGTTGCCCTTCAATCACTGTATCCTTTATGAATTAGAGTTCCATTTATCAAAATTACAGAAGAAGAGGTAATGTCTCATAGGGCTGTCTCATTACAAGGCTTATAAACACTGTCCTTACAAAGAAGTGGTTTAACACCTAACAAATCAAAAATTGATTGGGAATAGAATTTATTTGAGATCATCTATCTTCAGAAGACATGCTGTACTGAGTGCACTTTTTGGCCTCACTACCATTCATCAGCAAATTAACAAGCAAGTTCTGCAGACCACCAGATCTCTTTGGAGTTTATACTACCAAGTATGTTAAAAACAGATCTGTCACAGATGTTCTAATTGCATGTATTTTAGAAATTATCTGAAAATAAAACACAAAAGCTGACAATTTCCAGATTAGCTAGAATTCCATAGGAACAATATAAATATATATTTGGCACTAAGATAATCATAGTGTTAGAAATTCTAACAGGATAAAACATTGTAAGTGTTACTAACATTTTAATAACTTACTATTAAGAGTAAAAAAGAAGGTAATTACAGATTCTTTGGTTTATAATTATTCTCAGCTATTGTGATAAAGATGAACACTGAAACATCAGGAAAAAAAGGAGAGAGAGAGAGAGAGAGAGAGAGAGAGAGAGAGAGAGAGAGAGAGATCTCACACAACTCTAAATATGTATAGTTCTATTGCTAGTACCTTATGAAAGATATTCATACAGATATTCCCCTCTTGCTATCATGGATTTCACTAGTGCTATAAGGCTTTTATGCTTCACAACGTTTTGTAAAATATGGGCTGGTAGCCAAAGTAGTATCAACTTAATAGCATATTCAGTGGGATCTCTGACCCTCCCACATGGCTTATTGCAAACTGTTTTGAAAGTGATCTTAACTACAAAAGCCAGTTGTAGGAAGGTATGTAAGGTATTGTTTGAAGAATGCAAGCCCAGTAGGCATGTGGAGCTAGTTGTATCATTCCTTGGATGCTAGCCATGGGCTGCAAGCCAGACAGGTACCCAGTGTACACAGAAGTGACTGAATTAACACATGCAAGAGTTTTGTTTAGGTTCTGTGTCCCATGAGCCCTCAAAACTGCTTTTTAGATGGGAAACACAGTTTAATCAGGCTGCCTATAACAAGTCAAAAACCTGGAAGGCCATAGGCATCCCATGAAGGGTAGAGGTGGAGGTCTCTGCACTTCTCCTGTCCAGTTTAACACTTAGTCATAGGTTTAAGTGATTTAAGTGAAGTGCTACCAGGACCTGCATATGCTGCTGAGCTTTTCCCTTCCCCTTCCCACTGCCTGTTGACCCCAGAAGAGGTTGTTTTTGCAAGATGGGAGTGGCAATCTGCATGGCACGTCCTGTGCTGGTTGTGAAGGGAGAAGTGAAGAGAGAGGTCAAGTGCTCTCATTTCACTGGCGCAAGCTTCTGACACCAGAGCGGGGCTCCAAGTAACAGATTCTGTCTAGCAGCAACAGGATTTCTCTCTAAGTAGATTACAGAAAAAGGTATTTAGAGGTTGTGTGCAGGGAGAGTGTTTGTAAGTGGGGAAGAAGGCAGAAGGGATGCAGGAGAAGGCTGGGGGAACATCAGGAGCTGTTCCAGTTGGACTTCCAGGAGATGAGAAGGAAGACAGGGCCATTCTACTTGCCCTGCTCAATCCTGCTTTCCATTTTTCTGCAGTGATGTGTTCAAGTCCTTTACTCCAAGTCTCAAGTCTTTACTTTCAAGTCCAAGTTGAGTCTCAAGTCATTGCAAGACATTTTTGAGTCAAGTCTCAAGTCTCTTCTTAAGAGCTAACTCTAACAGAAATAAGGGAGCTGGCATGTGTAGGGGTGGGGAGTTGTTCATTCCTCCCTGAAAATGCATGGGAACAAAGCAGAAGCAGCAGGCAGGAGAAGTGCTATTGCACTTCCTGCCAAGAATAGCACAGTGAGCCAAGAAGAACTGAAGCCTTCTCCCTACATTGCAACCCCCTGCCCCTGCCCTCGTGTCCCTCACTCCCACTGCCTCCCTATGCCAAAAAGAAGAGCTGAAGTCTTGCCTTGCCTCCCCCCATCACAACCCCTTCCCTGCCCCCACCGCCTTGAAACTCCCTCCTCACTGAGTCAAGTCTGAGTTGAGTTGCTAACGTGAGGTGAGTTGAACCTGGGAGCTAGTCACTTGGCAGGAGTCCCCGATGCTGGTTTTCTGTGTCCATCCCCTTTTCCTTGTGTGTTCTGTATTTTCAGATTGTAAGCCTGTGGACAAAACCCGTACAGTGTTGGGGATTGGGGGAAGGGAAGGCTTCAGTTCTTCTTTTTGTTAGGAGAGAGGTGGTGGGAGGGAAGGAGGGACAAGGGGGTTGGGTGGGGGGAGGGAGAGACTCCAGGAGAGACTTGAGACTTAATTCACAAAATTTTGCAATGACTTGAGACTTGACTTGGATTTGAAGGTAAAGACTTGAGACTGGACTCAAGACTTGTAATAAAGGACTTGAACGTATCATTGGTATTTTAGGAATTGAGTGTAAGCCACTTTGGGAACATTTTTGTGGCCGAGGAAAGCAATAAAAGCGCTATAATGAACGAACAAACAAACGAATGAATCTGAAAAATGAGCTGTGCCTCTCAAAAAGTTATATCATGGATGACATGGAATAATTAAGCAATCCTATGAATTCAAAACCTTTTTATTTAATCGCTATTTTAAAAATTAGTATTTTAATCGTTCTGAACAGTTGCTTTGATTTTGACCTTAATGTAAATTTTTATTGTATTATATTATTTATATATGTGGTTTTATTGTATTTCGATTTTAAGGATTGTGAGCTGTCTTGAGATGCAAGGCATAAGGGACAGCATAGAAAAGTTTTAAATAAATAAATATAGAAATGTTATATTTCTAATTATACCAATTTAAAATATTGCAAGGGAACATTTTTGTACAGGTTTAGTAAAAAAAAAAACCCCTCCCATTACTTCCAGGATTCTATAACCAGCATGGCTATTTTTGTTGCAACAAACTAATATGGCTACTTATCTGTGTGTTGATATAATAAATACAATCACTCTTTAACCAGTCTTCTTTTAAGTAGGAAGATGCACCAAAAATGAGCCAAATGGTAACCAGTTAGACTTTTTAAAGTATTCAGCATTAGTATTAAAAAAGAAACCAGCTTTGAGTTTGATGCCTTATGATTTCTTCCCAAAGTTTTATAATGTTATTATAACATAATATATAGAAATGTTATTGAAGTTACTGAAATTTACTTCTAGGCTGCTGGTGTCATCTTGATCCATGTTCAGTAAAGTACTTAAACATATGCATTTAAATGTGCCTGATACCCTATATGTATATGACTCAGTGTGCCCCTGGCTATATTACAGTGGTGATGGCATTCTTCAGTGAATTATTTACTTATATACTATCCAACAGCCAAAGCTATTTCAGCTATAAGCCAAGCAATTAATCAAACAGGGATTTGTCTAAGTCTTTTTTTTAGAAGCCAGACCCTCTGATACTTGTAAGAAAAAGGAGAAAAGTACACTAAAATTGATTTTTACTTTGTCTTTGGTATAGCTAAATGATTGCAGATGCAGGTTCATTGTATTTTATTCTAGCCTGAAAATTTTGACTTGTATACCTATATTTAGGACCTTATGTGAAGACACTGAAGTTTCCTGTTTGAAATCTGAGCTGGACAGAAATTCACAAATCACTTTCTCTGCTGTAGTCACAAAGAAGTCTATTGGTCTAGTGCTAGACTTTCTATAAAATAAAGAGGTTGTCATTGAAGACTAACATGAAACCCATCAAAAAGAGGTATCACTAGATGACCTATTGCTTACAGAAACAGGATTTTTATCCTCTCAAAAAGTCTCTCTTTTTAAAAATGTTAGTTCATACTCTAAATTGTTACAATGTTTTTCTAAGCCCAGTTTGTAGTGGTTATGAGTGTGGAACTGGGACTCAGGCAACCTGGGTTCTGGTGTCTGCTCAGTCACGGAGCCAATGGACAACAAAGCCCATGCATTGCCTTTAAATTAAATACTGACCTTGGGGCAAGAGGAATTACATAACCAGTAATTATTTTGATATGAGCCATAATCTCCTCTCACAACTTTTGGAGTTTTAGACAAGACCTAATGCACAGAGATTGTGCTCCACCCAGGGTCCCTTTCAAGGCAAGGCTGAGTAACCCTGATGTAAATAGCACTGCCAGTTAAGTGACAGACACCAGTTACCAAAGAATGTCCAGGTGGTTTCTGTTATGCTTGACCAGGAAAATCTGAAGAGCACAGTATAGGACCTACTATTAGGATACTATTTTGGGCTTAACGAAAATATGAAAAAGGAGTTGAGGGCAGTTTCTCATGTATGAGAAAAAAGGGCTACCACTTTCAATTTACTCCAGCATTTGAATTAATGCATGTCTATGCATTTATCTATTTGTATCAA